AAGAAAGAAAGAAAGAAAGAAAGAAAGAAAGAAAGAAAGAAAGAAAGGCTACATAAGCATTTCTTTAATTAAAATAGTCAAAGCAGAAGGATTCTAGTGAAAAGTAACTGAACCACCAAAATACCAATCGGTTTGTTTCTTTTTTTGTGTGTACAATATTTGTAACAATTTTTCAAAACGTCCAAGTGGTTCAAAATCAAACAGATCTAGAACTCCTAAATATTAATAAAAGCAACAAAAACAACAGCAGCATCTTAGCGCAAGATGAAGACTCAGAACTAGCAAGCAAATGCTTGCTAAGAAAATAATTTCCATTTAGGAAGACTGTTGACATCTGTTATTCTGCTTAATCACAGGATTGTTCTTTTAAACAGAAGACTACATTGTTTACATTTACTGTGCTAAGTTATATTTGTATCTCCAGGTTTATTTCCAAAAAGTTCAAGGCATTAAAGATACTTCTCACGCACCCACTTTCACAACAACCCTTTGATTTTGCATAGTCTGAGATAAATAGTCCTAAAATTGTCAAATGAATAACATGGATAAAGGCAGAACTGAAATTCGATCTTTCCTATTCTGGTCTGATATTCTAAAAACTATAATATAGTGGCTTTGCACATAGCCCAGATCATCTCTGCCCTGACTTGTGATGTCCAAACTCAAACACGGGAAATGCGTCTTGCGAAGAGCTTAGACAAGCCAGACACTAACAAGTGAGTAACGGTCATGATACTGAATACAACTCAAAGATGTATTGAGTACTGGGTTTCATGTCACAAGGAAATAATTGGCAGGATAATTGTGCTACTTTCTTTGTTGTGCAAGGCCAATGATACTATGCAATCTAAATGGAACAAATTTCACTACAAACTGGTCTATTGTTATTTAGGTCTGGACACTTGAAAACAAAGAGTGCTTCCAAATAACCTATGATGCTGTTATATTTCTCATTATCCAAGGCCTCATCCAATGCTTTTCTAATTATTTGGTGGAAATACAAGGCAGAATTCATATATTTGTATGAAATCAAGCAGGAAAGCATCTAAACCAGGGGTGTCAAACTCAAGGCCCGGGGGCTGGATCCAGCCTGTGGGGTGGTTAGATCTGGCACATGGGGCCACCCTGGAAACTGTTAAGTTTGAGCAATGAGAGGCTGAACCAGAGCATGAGTGCAACAATACTTTATTATAACAAATAAAGGGCTGACCGTGCTTGCCACGCCTGGAACTGGCTCGCAGCAATCAGCAACTGGTTGGACCCCGCAGCCTGCTTTTATAGCTGGCTGCTGGGGAGAACCAACCAATGAGGAAAGGGGGAAGAACGCCCACACAAGTGAGTGGACCAGAGTGAGAACTCCTAGAGTCCTCAGGACATAACACCCCTTCCCCCCAGATGCGAACATGCATAGTCTTTGAGGTAGGCAGGGGGTTTATGTTGGCGCCCGGAACGGCGTAGCTCTGGAACATCGTCTGTCCGTCCGGGGTCTGCCAGGGAAGGCAGAGTCGGCAAAGTGTCCCCAGTGTGCCCCTCGGTTTGGACCTGCCCGGGGCTCGTAGGGTTGCTCACTGGGGGTGTGCTCCTGTAGACTGGATCGGGCTGGTCAACTGTCTGGGCGCCGCTGTCTGTGTTCGGGCTTTCGGAACCGGCTGTAGGCGTGAACTGATCGCCGGGCGTGATGTGGATGTGAGGCTGAGGATGAAGCCTCCCCTCGTCTTGTGCCTCCGGGTCTCTGCTGGCGATGGTGCTGAGGCGTCTACGCAGTTGGTCTATGTGCCTCCTCCAGACGCGGCCATCCTCCAGTCTGACCCGATACGATCGCGGCCTGGTGATGGCTATGATCTCGCCCGGGATCCACAGGGGGTCTCCAGCGAAGTTCCTCGCGAAAACCGGCTCCTGTAAAATAAAATGTCTAACCCCCGATGTGGAAGCGAGGGGAGAGTCAGGGCAGTACTGTGGGTGTAGTCTGTCCAATACAGTCCTCAGACGCCTGCCCATCAGGAGCTCAGCTGGGGACTTATTGGTGACTGAACAAGGAGTTGAGTGCTGGCTCATCAGGAACCGCGAGAGTTTGTGGTGCCAGTCATCCTTGTTGAACCTTGCCAGGGCTTCTTTAGTGGTCCTGACGGCCCTTTCAGCCAATCCGTTACTGGCAGGGTGAAATGGGGCTGTGAAAATGTGGCGGATACCCAGGTTGGCAGCGAAACGGCTGAACTCAGTCGATGCGAACTGTGGGCCATTATCGGAGACAATGGAGTTGGGTAGCCCGTGCGTAACGAACAGGCGTGTTAACACGTTGGTGATTGCTAGTGTGGTGGTCGTGGACAGCTGTGCTACGTCAATCCATTTGGAATAGGCGTCCACGACCACTAGGAACATCTTCCCATGCAGAGGGCCGGCTAGGTCGATGTGAATTCTGGACCAAGGAGCGCTGGCGTTTTCCCATCTAGTAGGGGTGGCAATGGGGAGAGCAGGACGGGATTCCTGGCAGATGTTGCAGGAACTTACCCAATTGACAATGTCCTCGTCTAGACCCGGCCACCACACGTAGCTGCGTGCTAACGCCTTCATTCTCACGATGCCAGGATGTCCCTTGTGCAATGCTTCCAGAACTTGGGTACGCAGTGAGGCCGGAATAACCACTCGAGTGCCCCATAGTAGGCAGCCCTGCAGACTTGACAATTCCTGCATGCAAGTCTTAAAAGGTGTGAATTTGTTATCAACATTGCCACCCGGCCACCCCCTCCTCACCCAGTCGAGCACCTGGGCGAGTGTTTGGTCTGCCTTGGTTTTAGCAGCAATGTCCAGGGCAGTGATGGGTAGGTCCAACTGGGTGATCTCGAAAATAGCATGGACAGGAGCAGGGTCTTCAGCCGGGGCAGGCAAGGGGCAGCGACTGAGTGCGTCAGCGTGGGACAGTGTTTTACCCGGGCGGTGTATAAGTCTGTAGGAGTAGGCTGCTAGGAAGAGAGTCCACCTTGTCATCCTAGGGGAGAGGACTTGAGGGGTCTGCTTGTCCCCGGCTAGTAGGCCCAGGAGGGGTTTGTGGTCCGTGACCAGCTCGAAAAAATGGCCAAAAAGGAATTCGTGAAATTTTTTCACGGCTGCAACAGCTGCTAGGGCTTCCTTATCGATCTGGCTGTAATTGCGCTCCGTAGCAGAGAGCGTCCTTGAGAAAAAGGCGATGGGAGCCTCGGCGCCATTGGGAAGCCTGTGACTTAGTACTGCCCCAATTCCAAAAGGGGAGGCGTCTGCTGCCAGTACTAAAGGGAGGTTAGGGTCAAATTGAATAAGTACCGCCTCTGACGTGAGTAGTGATTTGACGGCGTGAAAAGCATGGTCTTCTTTGTGCCCCCAGTGCCAGGGTGACTTTTTATCCAGTAATCTGTGTAGGGGTTCAGCTACTGATGCTTTATGGGGCAAAAAGGATGCGTAAAAGTTCAATAGCCCCAAGAACGCCTGTAGTTCAGTTTTGGAGGTTGGAGTGGGTGCCTCGTGGATTGCCTTAACCTTGAACTCCAGGGGGTGAATGCCAGAGGCGTCAATTTTATAACCCAGAAAGTCCACCTGTCTAGTGGCAATGGCACATTTTTCTTTTTTCAACTTGAGGCCATGCTGTCTGAACCTCTCTAACACAGCTCGAACTCTTTGGAAGAGTTGGGGTCTGTCCCTGTCCGAGACTAAGATGTCGTCGAAGTAGGGTACTACACCAGGGAGGCCCTGCAAAATCCGCTCCATGAGGGATTGAAAAATACCAGGGGCAACACTTACGCCAAATTGGAGACGCTTGCATCGGAAGGCACCCCTATGAGTGACAATTGTCTGGAGTTCCGCTGTTTGGTTATCTACAGGGAACTGCTGATATGCTTGAGACATGTCCAATTTAGCAAAAATGCTGCCTGGCTCGAATGTGTGTAATAAGTGCTGGATGACGGGCACAGGATAAGCGCTAACTTGTAGAAATTTATTGATTGTCGTCTTGTAGTCCGAGCAAATTCTCAGGCTACCGTCTTTTTTGAGGGGTGTGACAATGGGCGTCTCCCACTTGGCGAAATCTGTTGGCTCAATGA